ACCGCACCAGCAGGCGGGAGAGCGGGACACGTGTGCTGGTGGCACACAGCATGGATACGCAGGAGCGCTGCCGACTTCCCACTAAAGCTCTGCCCCACAGCCTGGCAGCCGCCCGAGACAGTGCAGGGAACACGACGAGACGTTGGTGGAGGCGCGGAACGTGAGCAACACCCAGTGGAGACACCTGTTTGTAGATTCTCCCATAGGGGGAGCCACACGGCCAAGACTCCCCTGTGCTCGAGCCGAGACGCACCGGCACCTGTGGGCTCGGGTCTGGGGCTGAGGTCTCTGGGTCCGAGTGGAGGTTCCTGAGTGCGTCACTGTGAGAACTCGCCGAGGCGCACCCTTGGGACCTGTGCGCGCATGCACACACACGAGCAGTGCTTCAATCAACAACCTTCTTAGGGAGGAGACTTCAACCTGTTACCTGCCCTCCAGCGAGGTTCCCTTTAGCAGCACAAGCAAGGACAGGCCTGGTCCTATGGCTGGTGCTGGCAGGTGCACTGAGGGGGCTCTTGCCCACGGGCCCAGCTTCAGTGGGAAAGAAGCTGGCCGCCAAACAATGGGGTTTCCGTGGAGAAAGGGCTGGAATGTCAGGGGCTGAGAAAGGCGCAGGTGAGCCAGAGGGCCGGGGCGAGCGTGGTGCCAGGAATCACACCCCAGAAAACCAGCAGAGGGGCGTCCATCACCTCACCCTCCCTGGCAGGGGTCGGGGAGGAGCGGAGTGGCAGGCCCTGTCTCTGCACCCGCTCCCAGGCCGCCTCCGACACAGTGCAGTGTGAACTGGACCAAATGAAACAATCCAGCTGCTTCCACCCAAGAGCTTTCTCAAAACCAAACAAAGCACAAACACGGTGGCGTCCGTGTGTCCAGAGTGCCCCCCAGGGGCACAGCAGACAGACCGAAAGGGGAAAGGCGCTCCACACTTGGGTGGTCACCCCGAAAGCCTCTCCCCGTAACAGAAACCACACTCGCAAGAGGAACACAACAGAATGTACTGTACCGTCTGGATACATCTGTGCAGCTGACGCTTGTGCCTGGGACCACCTGACAGTCACTACCCAGCAGGCCCACCACCCAGGCTGAGGATTGCAATTTCTTCCTGAAATTTAAGAGAACTGAGACTAATTAAGAAACCTCATTTACATTCCTCATTTGCCCATTTCAGAAGACCTGACACGCGGCTGCCTGCCACAGAAATCCCAACAACATTTCAATGAGTCCATGTTTACTCCAGATTAGAGAATCTTTAATTGTTAATAACCATGTTTCAGGTTTTCTGATTATTACATTTATAAACTTAAAATTATTTTCCTTTCCAAACACTAAGTATTCTGAAGCCAGGCAAACCTGAGGTTAGACAATACCTCTACCTGACTGGCTTCGTGAGAAAGCTGACTGTCATTCTGGGAGGCACTAGGTGTCCAGTCGCTACTCCTACAGGCGGGGGACTCCAGCCACCTCTCCAGGGCGTGGGCTCTGCCTCGCTCCGCTCTTGGAAGGAAGGTGAGCTGAGCAGAGCTGATGACGACTCTCACCCCAATTATCCGACCCCGTGTGTCATATTCCAAGCTGGACAGGACAACAGGCCGCCAGCTCCGCCTGGTGGAAGAGGCGAAGCCAGAGCCGGCGGCTCACTTCTTGGCAAGCTCCAGCACCTTTGTCACCATGGCCCCGATCCCGTCGTGGATGTGGTGGAGCGCCGTCTCACACATGAAGGCTGGGGTCGTGACCACCTTGTTTTTCTGGTCCACGTGAGCTTCGTGGACAGAAGTTAGGGAAACACTATCCAGTAAGGATGAGGGGAAGTTTTAGGCGCAAAGCACGTCCCGGCCACTGCTCCCAGCTGCCCTCAGAACAAGTGTCCCGTCCTTCCCAAGGTGACTGGGGTGTGGGGGGACATTCTTCCCAGAGGAATCTGCTGGCAGGGCCACTTCTGCACAATCTGTGCGGCTGAACTACACGAGAACGTGACCAGCACGCTCCCAAGAGGAAGAAGGCAGCTTGCACCTCAGCGACCATGTCGGCCTCATGACGCTGTACAGCAGAGTGCCCCTTGGTACCCACAACCCTGAAGGCGGCAGTAGCACCTCCGCTTTTCAGATCAAGAAGACTAAGAGCGCTCACCTGCGTGCCAGCAACAGCAGAGCAGAGGCCAATTCCACCTGGGACCCACCTCCCCACCCAGCTCACGCAGACCCTGGAGGAGACAG